CAGCTAAAGGCGCAGAAGCTACGTCCAGATTATGACGGATCGTGTTAAGACTGAGTTTGTGTTGATCTCCTCTTCGTCGCCGAAACTGAGGAGACGGCGACAGATAGGGGACAACAACAGTGGGCTGATTGGCAAGCTACAATAAACCTGTCCAAACCACTTCAGTCACTTTCATTGGGCAGCCACAGTGAGTGAAAATAGTTTTAATCGAAACACAATTTCTGTACTGTAATCGAAAGAGTATTCTCAAACCACAGTAACTAAAACCCGTTTTTTTGTCGGTCCGCTACGCATAGACTAGCGCCCCCCAGCCGTAGAAGACTAATGTGACCGGCGTTCCCACAAAGACCAATTAATAAGAATAAAGATCAGTTTCAAGTTCTAAGAGCATTACATTTTTTTAAAAATACGATTACAGTGTAAGCTATGGCCAAAATATTCATCTCAAAGGGCACCAGAGCATTATGTACAAAGCAGACAGCTGATGTGTGCAGAGGGGGCAGACGCGATTCAGGTCGAAGAGAAGGTAGAACTGCTTAACTTCCCCTTCGCGTTAACATCTACGAGCGCAGCTTCTGGAAACGGCTGCTCAAAGAGGTCTTTTTGCTGAAACGAGAGAAAATGTCATTCAGACAACAATGATAATAATAATAATAGGAAGCAGAAGCCACATATAACTGTGTCTAGAACAATGTACAAAAAGTACACAGAGATGATCGACAAATTGAGTAGACATCCAGACTTGCCCCGCAGATCGGAATTTACGGCAAGTGCACCATTTTCGATTTAAAAGCTTAGAGAATGGAGAGCCGACTCATTTCTGCGAAAGGTCAGCAACAATACAAATCTGTCCAGATGGGCAACTTCAGTTTTTCAGATAACCTCTTCAGTTCTGGCGGATCGAATTTAACTAGAACTACGCGGATGCTTATAAAAAGCGAAATTATCAGGAAGGACATGTATATAGGAACCACGCCCCACCCTCCCCCCTTTTTTTCCGGGTACCTTGTCCAAATTTGCAGAGTGATTATTCTTGGTGTTAACGTTTGGGGTTTCGTTAAAATTAGAAGTAGGGTTAAGGTTTCGGTTACAGTTAGGACGGGATGCTAAATGTCGCGTTCGAAGAGCTTGCGTGAGTAAAAGAGAACACTGGTGGAGCACTAGAGCAATTTAGTTATTATTCTGAATTTTCGAACTCGGGCAGGGGTTCATCGTCAGAGACAGCAGTAGCAGCAAACAGGCAGCTAAAGACTGACTGCTAAAATCAAGGTTTTCTAGAAGCGATCTCTATCTCCGCCCTCGCACTCATCAATATGAATGAATGCTAAGGTGTGCGTTCCAAGTGTGTGCGTGGGTAAAGGCGAAGACTCATCGAACACCGGAACAGGTTGCTAATTGTTCCGAGCTTTCAAACTCGTACCGCAGCTCAGCATCAGAGATCACAGCATAATGACGACAGGAGTAGGGGTTTCAAGGCAAGAAATTATCAGTAACGCAAGTCTCGCACGCTCTGTCATACATCAGGGACATCGGAGAAGCGATTGAGCGCATCGTTGTGAGACTAGGTATTGTAATTACATACCCGCCTAAGGTTACCATGAGTTGCAGGGTGATTGACAAAAAAGTTAAAGAGCAATCTGGGGCACTGTATCGCACTCTATGCCTACGCTGTCCTTTTAACTACGCAGGTCAAACTAAACGCGTACTCTGATCGCGCATACATAAACATAAGTTTGCAATGCGACGGGGAGACGAACTATCGCAAAGTACTGCCTGCACCCACCAAAGGACTATGGTTTTACCTGCACAGCCATCAAGAAAACCTTCCACGCCCGAAACAAGACGATCCGAGAGTTGTTCAAAATCTGGTCCATGAAAGGGAACTCAATCAATCGGTTACCCGATTTGGCGCCGGTGTGCAGAGAACAGCACACTCACTTTCAGACGTCCGTTACTGGTATTTTATTGGCTTGCACCCTCTGCATTTGTCACCCTTTTGTTGCTGTTGCTATCTAGGAAGGGGAACTCCTGTACGAGTTTGAACACCCGAAATAATAAGCGAACTGTTTCCATGCTCTACCAGTCTTTTTTATTCGGAATAATGACTCCATACAATTTATCCTAGCTGCTATTTTTCGCGAGTCCACCTTTATTTACCGGGACGGTTTCTATTCCCGACTCTTAATGCAGCATTCGAGAAGGCGAGTTCCGGGTTATATTCAAGGCAACGAGAACTGTGTTCCCCTAGATTAATTCTCGAACCTATCAGCGGAACTAACAGTAGGTGAGTGTAGTGAAAACATAGCGGGAGAGCTTACAAACCAGCTGATCAGCCTCGCAGAGGTAGCTGCTCGATATGAGTAGCTCAAACCAACTGGTGCATTTCGTTTACGTCAGCCGAGAGGCCAGACAAGCGCTCTCTCTCGTGCCAAGCCGTCAGCTACGTTTTCACACTACTGTAAGTTGCAGACTGACTACAGACAACCACCGCCACTAAGCCCCGAGTCATGAGACGGAAGCACTTGCTACTCCATCCTAAGTAACGTCTGGTCTTGCATACCGGATCTTTTGTGGTTGCGGGCAAAGTTGCAGCAACGGCTCAGAAGTAAGCAGATCACTTGCGGGTGTATGCGTGTTTGTGTGTGTAGACGACCAGACACGCATCAGCAGTGAGGCGGAATGACGCCAAGTGTCAAGTGTCGCGGAACCCGGCCACATCATCATATCCGATGGGCTCACAGGAGATGACAGCCCTGTGAGTCGCGAACGCTTGGGTTCGTAAATTTCTGCCTAGAAGTGCATCAGAAACTCAACAACTCTCCGCCCCGACCCCACCCTCCCTAGTGCGTTTTAAGACCTTGTCTGGGCAGAGTAAGCAGCCATTGGGGGGGGGGAGGAGGGGGTGCATGGGACAACACAGCTTTCGGCAGGAATACTGATGGGTCGAAAAAACTCAATAACTATCGCGCCAATCACTAACACGTGTGGGATGGAATCAGGCCCAGCGCGTATTTGGAGGAGGACTGGTAAGCAAATATCACAGCTTGTTAAGAACATCCGTGATCAATGTGGAAAATGTGTGCTCGAATATGAACTGCATTCTGTTAATACTGCACCTCTGCTGCTGTTGCTGCCTCTAGTGGCGGCCTCCAGAAGCATGAATGACAAGTGAATAAAATTTCTGTTCCAACGATCGAGTCTCCTCCTGTTCCTCCTCCTCCTCTTCGTCGTTTGAGATTTTAAAAAAAACATTCTTCATTCTTGTAGCGTCAACTGGATGCGAACTCAAAAGGACGCTTTGCCGTCACTGACGCCGTAACCGACCGCGCAGAAATAGCTGCGACATACACGTCAGGAAAATGACAACTTCGAGGATAAAGTAACGACTGGAGTACCGTAGCCAAAGGAGAAAAAAGGCAGTTCCAAGTGCCATAAATCCTGGCAAAAAACACAAAATCCGCAACTCGCACAAGTGTCCGGGCTGACAAAGAGCTGTGATAGAACAATGAGGCCTCAGAGCCAAATGACTGACCAGACAAAGGAGCACTTATGCGGCCGTCTAGACAGGACACGAAGACAGGAACGCCCGTCCCGCCCAAGTAATAAAGGTGGCTCTGCACATAATTCCAGCAAGAGAAAATATTGTCCTGTCCTAGGCCTAACATGAACGCTTACATAAACCTAAAACGTAGCCCAAATGCCGAACCTAACCACAAACTTAGTATTATCTGTCTGATCTTAGCCCTAACCCTATGCTTAACACTAACACTAACGGTAAGTCCCAGGAAGTAATTGAGAAAAAAGACGACTCAATCGCTAGGGGAATACTTTTATTCGCCTGACGTTTGCAGAAACATCTGAAGTCGTCTACAGGATCTGGTGCATTTGCGGGCAAAGCAACTATGTTGGAGAAACTGGCAGACTTCTCAAGACGCTAATTACCGAACACGCGGCAGCAGTGCGGCGAAATGATGCCAATTCTCAAGTTGCGGCTAATTCAACGAGACAGCAGTGCGGCGAAACGATGCCAATTCTCAAGTTGCGCTCATTCGACGAGACCCGGCCTACACACTCAAATTTGAAAAGGCCGAAATTCTCGTAAGAGGTGACAATCTAGTGAACTGAAAATTACTTGAGTCATGGTTCACGGCCTCCAATCCATAAACAAGTGCCTAATACATATTCGGTGATGAGGCTCAATTTGGCCAAAGTAAGTCACCACTTGGGGAACGGACAGGCCAACGCGTCATCCTACGCGAAAACCGGAGGACCAGGTGGCCGAACAATCAACACGCCCGAGTCCACCACGCGTGGTGAAAGTTTAGCAGGTCAGAGCCCGCATGCTGTTCAACAAACTATCAACACGCAAGAATTCAATTAGCGTTAATTTTCATTGTATGTTTGCAGTAATGACTGTAACCTATAAATACTGCGAACTCCTGTGCATACGCTACCCGTATCTGCTACTGCTATCTGACTATATTTCTGATGGCGAATCCGCGACGGATTTGGAAAGTCAGGCGATTAAAAGTAGTGTCCCAGCGATAAAGTCGTCCTTTTCTTACTAACGGTAAGCATTACCCTACACCCAAACATTAACTTTACCCCATTTTCCTGCAACTTTAGCAGGAAGTCACCTGTACTGCGTGCGGGTTCTGGGTTCACGCCCTGTTTAACGGGGTCTTATAACTACACTGCACATTGACCGGTCCGGACGGCGGATTAATGCATGATACCGGGAAGTATGGCGACGACACGAATGAATCTATTCCAAGGGCATTTCAGGGCATTACTCCTAGGAATAAAACTGACGATCTTTGAAATTACCACGACGCGCTAAGAATCGTGGTTTGGAAGTCTGCTAGCTAAGTGAATAATTAGCTCTTCGTGATCAGTACTGGGTGTGTGCTTGTGTGTGCTCGGAAGACTTAAACGATAACACGCTCCACTTCTGTAGTACTGAACTGCCCCTTAACAAGGAGTCGTCAGACAGACAGTCAGAAGTTAACACACTCGAGTTAGACGAGTGGGCTAAGAAGTTAGTCCCAGCAAGGATAAGGAGTACGGGACTATCTACTCTCAGTTAAAACTAAATCACCCGCGATCTTCTTCTCTGCATTAAAGAAAGCGGTCAAGGCTGCATTCCGTCCCAGTCTTCTACACGCTGTCATGACATCAGCCCCGGCGGGTGCAGGTGGAGAATGCGGTAGACCTTCACTTAAAACTAACCCCTGCCGCAAGCCACCTTACCTGCACCAACCTGTTTAGAGCCTATGGTGGACATAATCGAAATCGGCGGTCGAACTGTTGTGTCAAATGTGTCTCCTCACTATAATAAATATGAATGCGCTTGAATCTATCACGGTGCGCTAAAGCCGTGGCTTAGATGGTTTACCAACTGATGGGAAAACTCAGGCCACCTACGTTGCTGCTCCTCTAGTACGCGTGTGTTTGCTTGCTTATGTGAGGAGGTGAAGGAATGAGAGTCAGGCCTATATGGCGCTCAGCGAACGCAGGAGCCTACCTAGCGCGATGTGCTGAGTCAAGTGTGCGCGTGTTGAGTGACTATCGAGCCAGCCACCTACACCCTCCCTCATCCCCGGTCTTATTGGCTTTGTCTTTACACAGGAAACGGAGGGGGGAGCGGCGAGCGAGTGGGTAGATTACCCGCGAGTCTGTTTGAATTATCGTTTTCATTCGCGGTAGTTTGCTGCGTTGCTTCAGCTTGCTGCAGCCTCGTGCAGGTTGTCCAGCTTGTCTCGGTGTCTGTTTAGACTCGCTTCAGCGCTTGCTGCGACTTGTTGGAGCACGCGGCCGCCCATCGTCGAAATCGACGGGGAACTGTTGGTGTGTGTGTGTGTGTGTGTGTGTGAGTTAAGTAGCTCGAGTACCCAGAGTGGGGCTCAATGGCTATTTTTCATGGCATTCTCCCGAACGTGTGAGCAGAGTCCCCCATTTGTGGCAACCTACCACACTTCGCGGGAACCAGGCCGTGTGTGGTACGTGTAGACGTGCTGTTTTGCTTTGCCAGTTACTAGATTCGGACGCACCTCCGGTAGTCATGGCAAGGACTGGATATCGGAGCCTTTAGGGGCGAGGTAGGAGGGAAATTCTGTAGATCCTGCGTGAAGCTGTTCTACTACAAACTAACATCACTGTGTCCGCTCCATGCGGCACACGCTGGATGGCTGGCTTTGCCACGGTCGAACTGTCAAGAAAATAGGCGACCGGTAAGCGCACAATATGAGAGGTAACTCAGGCAAAAAACTATAGTCCAGAGTGTAATCTGGGCTCG